GTTGTGGTGATGCGTTATAAACAAATCAAGCAACCAGATCTGTCTCAGCTCTGAAAGAACAGGCCTTAGTGTGACTGGATAATAATTTTGAGATGTCTGAGAGCAAGCCTGAATGCTATCCAACAGGCAGCTGGAAATGCCCTAGAGTTCACAAGAAGACCAGATAGTCTTTGTCCTAAACAAATTAAAGGCAGCACCTTCAGTTTAATCTAGTGTTTGAAGTCTTGCTTCTCCCAGAAAAATGCTTAATGAAGAAAACTGGTAGGCGACTGGACTGACTGAGGTGTGAAAGTTGAATTAGAATTAAGATTAGAATTACAATTTAGATGTAGCCTGCAGTAATCCTATAAATTATGGGTTTTGCAAGACTGGCTGCAGGGAGCTGCCTTTTTTGTGCTCTCCTGTTCGATATACTGGCTACAAGAAAGATAATTTGTACTGAAAAGGAGATCACCTAGCTCAGCCAGTAATGCACTGACTTTCAGGAAAGAAAATCTTGTCGCAAGGAAGGAACACGTGATGTTCTTCAGGCATCTTTTACACAGGATACAAAAACATCATTTCATCCTGAAGCAGAGGGTATCGGGGGACAATGCTGCGATGTATATCCTGGTAGGCCTGGCAGAGTCTGACTTCACACGTAGGGAAGAAAATAGTTTAAGTTTCAGTGTTTAATGGAAAGATTCACTGCAGAGCCCCACAGAATATACATTTCATTTAGCGGTGTAAGTGTGGTTCTGCAATGATGTGCCTCCTTCAGACTGAAAGAGTTTGCCAAGGTGGCATGTGAGCTATCAGGTACAATGACACTGAAAACTGGACAGCACAGAGCTGTGACTTGAGAAGACAGAGTCTGCAAGAAACGAGAAGATAACCACCAGAAGGGATGACAGATTTGTCAAGACAGACACACAAAACTTTTGAGTCCGTGTCAGCATTTTAATGCTGTACTTGATATTTAAGCCTAAACGAGCAGCTCTTTGTTAGTCCATACAACATATTAAATCTTCCAGTGCACTTCTATGAGCAACACTCTGTCACGTCAGGGAGCTAAATTCCATGGAATAATAGTTCTTCTTTAATTCAGCCCTAACTAAACAGAATGTCTTGTCAAAAGGATCAATGAGAATTCTACAAGCAAGGATTTTCTCCAGCAGTTTTCCTAATTGCTGCAATCCAGAAAAACTGAGGATGTAGGAGAAAGCATGAATTCCCAAATTACCACACAGACATGGAAGCCTCTGTTACATACATTTAATTATTTTTTTTAAGATATACCAGTACAATAAGATGAAGTAGAGATGTGAGTCTGAATTTAGACTCACAAGGGATGTAATTATTCAGTGTAAAAAAGATATATATAGAGAGAGAGGTGTGTGTATATATATATATACACACAGTTGAATTTCAATTTATTAAGGGCCAATTTTCTGGAAGAAAAGGACAACTAATAAGGAGACAATTAGAAAACAATGGAATCAAGCACATAAGAATCAAATGAATTAGTCTGAACCCTAAGCATTGTCCCAGACCCAATTTAAGCATGAAGATCTGATTTTGAAAGCTGTTGAGCAATGTACCATAAGAAGTTCTCTGTTACTTTGTTTCTAGGAATATAAGGTATGGGTATTTTTTATATATATATATTCATTTATATCTTATAATTAAAGGCTAATGTGAGCTGTGATTGAAATATTTGCCTGTGAGTTACTGTTTATAAGTGAAGTGCTGATGTCCAGGTGCTTCTCACTCGTGCCATAACGTGATACAATATCACTGTTGGGTTAGATTCCTCTGAATTCTGTAACGATTCACTCCTCACTGTACTAGAAGGTGTAATGCACCAAATTTCAATGGTGTGGGCCCTTGCCAGGGGGGAGGATTCCCTCTCAGTACATACTCACTGAAGAGAAATATTTTTGAGTGATAAGAAAATCCTTTGTATAGGAAGGAGGAAATCTTTAGAAAACATGCCTTAAAAAGGATGGCTTTTCAGAAGAGCATTGCAAAAAATGTTGACAAGGTGGTTATAATGATTTTGCTGATGACAAAATTAACAGAGGTAAATCAATTCAGGCTTTGTATAAGAGGGACAGCTTTGAAGCTATTCAAAAACTTGGCCTTTTTGAAAGACAGTTAATCAAGACAGTTAAAATACATAACTGAAAGAAAATTAAGTATCTACCTTTAGAAGCTGAGAGGTGGCATTTAATCTTAGGACTTGAAACGTCATGAGTCTCTCAGAGGATTTTTAATTCATTCCAACATTCCTGTTGCATCTTGAGGCAAGGAAATTTTATTGCTAACTCGCACACTAGAATTTCCAACCTTCAGAGCCCTTTTCAGTAGCCTGTTGTGAGCAGTTCTGTGCTGACAACAACAACTTTTTTACACCTTTTTATGTAATACTGGTTTCCAACAAAGCTATTTCTTCCTTTGGAAGGTGGCTTGACATCCATAAGAAATCTCAGTGTAAATCAAAGAGCCATTTTCAGCAGAACAGACTCAAAAGACTTTACAGTTCAGGTTTGTGTGCATATTGTATACCACACCCTAAATTCGATTGTAGGAACCTCATGCTGGCCATGCTATTACATTCAAATTACATGACCCAGCCCATGTAAAAGACACTCGGAACCTAAAAGTAATGGACATTTATTCAGGGTGTCACGGCAAGGTTTGCAAGCTGATCCATGGCATTATTCTGGTTTAGCTATGTTGCTTTGCATTCTTGAATAGAGACACTCTCCGTTGCCTTTGGAGACACTGCACCATTTTCAGCAGCGTGGTGTCATCATGCCCGGTGTCAGAGGAGGCTTTTATCAGTAATTTATACATTATACAGAATCCTTTTCTAGTGTTAAAAACTGTTTCCATCTATTCAGCTTTTCTGTGTTTGCCAGGTCCAGGAAGCTTTTGGGAAGTGTAGTCAGGGGCTGAACTTCGGACTTGCATCCTGAATTCCCTAAGGTTCAGCATTATCTGTGGAGCCACCACAAGCTAGCAGGGCAGGCTGACCTTCAGTCTTCTGAAACATTGAGGTTTCAAAGGTGCATATTAATCATATCTATTCTGTTGTTTTCCTGTGAGTCACCAGGTTTCCTTCAGCTGAGAAATATCTATGCCAAAGAAATAAATCAGAAAGTGCTATTTGTTTCCTCCACTTACCCTTTTGACCTCATTCTATGAACTGTACATTCATTTGTACTTCACGTTTGCACAGATAAAAGTGAACACATTGAAAGTATTTCTCTGGTGTGGTACTCCACTGTAATGGCAAGAAAGCTTAATGTATCTAGAGCTCTGCTTTCTTGATCGTCTGCACACATCTTCTGTTCATAGGAGAAATACAGAACTTATTAGAGGACCTTTTTTTTTCCCCCAACTGTACAGTTACATTTAGCACATGCAAGCCTAAATCTTTTGAAAATAAATATTCTGAAAAGCTCTAACTTCAGGGCTTTTAAGAGGTATCCTGTTTCTGTGAAGTACAGAGGAAGCAGATAAATGATGGGGAAGTTCAAGCTAAACAGAGGATTCTGTCACTGATGGGCGCGGTGTATGGGCGTAGAAGACAGAGGTTAATTCTTTATTGTCGGAGGCGGGTATAGCTTTGAGGAGATCCAGGTGTATTCTTAAAGCAGCAAAGCCAAGCAAGCCTGGGAGGCACTGGATGCACGATCTGATGGCTGCACTGCCTTAAGAGTGGTATTCATGAGATGGCTGTGTACAAGAGCAGCAGGGAAGGAGGCATTCTCAGTTCCCCCGGACAAACCCACTATTTCTACAAATTTTTTCCCCTTTCACGCAGTGAGAACTCTGTCCCTGAGACAGTGACTCTGGATGCCAGGAGGCAGCAGGATAGTAGGAACAAACTTCTTGAAAGTCTGTCACAAGCTCATGGGAATCAGTTTCTGCACCATGCAGAAGGGTATAACTGCTCATCAGTTCTTCCTCTTGACTTCACTGTCCACTAATCTACTTGTAATTAATCTTGCAGACTGGATGATGTATGGACAGTGCTGTTTCCCTGCCTGCTTTGGGATTGACATATTCAAACCCCTAGAGTTAACATTTTGTGATTCAAAATTCCTGAATACTTATTGAGGGCTCCGTTGTGCCTGTGCAGGATAGTTCCATATTACTCTTACGTGGGAATCAAGGTCCTGCTGGGCTCCTTGAAAAGAGCTGTCACCTTTTGAAATTCCAGTCGTTTCTGATAATCAGAATTAACAAGTGTGCGTTGTATATTTTAAGACAACAGAACTGTCTATAGTTGTGTTACAAGTTTGCTCTTAGTGGCTGTGGGTGAGCAGAAGTTTGTACCTCTTCTGCTTGAAGAAATACATTGATAACATTTCAGACCTTAAACAGTGACAAGAGCCAATTGTTCTGACCCTCCCGGGGCTAATTTTGAATAGCGCAGTGTGAACATAACAGCTTTGTAGAGGAACAAAAAACGACACTTTGCCACATTTGGGCACTGAGGTCAAACTGCTAACATACTTTGCAGTCCTCTTTCTTGTTTTTCAGTGCACATGTGGCTTTTGGTACCAACCACTAGGCTATGGGAACTGTTTGTAATGAGCTCTCCAGAGATTTCCTGCACTCTGTGCACCCTTGAGCTATTCAGTAATGTTCTATAGACTTTCTGGTTTTCTGTTACTCATCTTTCTCATTACCTATGAGTCCTTCCCAGTTGGGAGCAGAGTTGAGAACTGTCTGGACAGCCCAGCATAGGGCTAAGGAAAGATCAATTAGCTTCAGTGCTTGCTGTGCCAACTCAGATGCTTCATGGCAGAACCTTGTGCCCCTTGTATGTACCCAGATATATGCATTCCTTTCGTCTATAGTACATGTACCATTACATAGTTGCAAATGCATGATGTTTCTGTCTCCACTTTCCCCTTAGTAGAATATTGAATATATATCAATAGCAGACTGTGAAGGTAAGAGATGATGTCACCAAAACAAATGTTCTCCTTTGTTTTTCTTTCTAGATTAATGCAGCACATAATTTCACCAATTGCAAGGAGGAAGCAGAAGATGATGACACTTATGTGCTTATGTTAGGTTCAGAGACTCAAACAGCCACGAGTAAGTCATGTTGTTAGCTTTATTGGTAACAAAGCATGTGCTGTATTAAGTGAGTGGGATTATGGACAGAGGGGGCATTATTTTAATACTTTCAATTTCCACATGTTAGTGCAACTTCCAGGGAGGGCAGATGTTCTTGGAGAAGGGTGAAGGCAGGTAAGGGATTCAGTTGTGATAACAAAGTCATCGCTCAGTGAGACAGACCTCAGTGCAACCACCCCTCCTGGTAAATTCTGGAAATTTGTCATCTCTGCTCTGAATCTAGAAAACAGCTGAATACTCCCAAGTTCTCAGAACAGCCTTCATATAAGGGGAGGCACTGCCTACAGGTGCGGCTAGCTCCTGGGCGGAGGCACAAATAGTAGACATTTTGCAGCTTGATGTTCGTACATCTAAGCATAGATTGATGACAAGTTTGTTGATAATCTGTGTGGTCGTATGCATCCCCCTTGAAAACTACAAAGTTGCTTGTGTGCATTTACTGATGGCATATATCTTGCATATGTTTTACAGTGTCACGAATCTATAAAGCTAAACTTTATCCTGTTTCTATCTTATCTGTTAGTTGACAATTTTATCTTTTCAACTGTCTCGTATTCTGTATGAAAAGGATGTTTCTTAATTGCTAAGTTTAAACCGGTTGCTTTAGCACATCTAGGTAGGTAATAGACACTGTGAAAATGTGAGCTAGAAACCCAGTTAGCCCTGCTACGTTTGCAGTGTCTCTGTCATGCCGTATGTGGGCACACCTCAGGGTGGACACATGGAAGAAGAACGCGGATTGTAACAGCTGGCCATGTTAGCCAGCTAATTGCCCTAACCTCCCACTTGAATCAGTGGTGAAAGGCAGGCGTCACCAAAGGATACTCAGAATGGAAACCTAGCTCAAGAGCTTGCTATTACCTGCTATGCATTGACTGTAAGTCTGCTTACGGACTTCTATAGTTTACTCCGTTATGTTACTGAGGTTGACTACCCAAATTTCGATGCTGTACATGGTGATTAAAATGTATGTTTTCACATCCCTCCACCATATTCCTGTTCTGTGGTCCGTGGGCCGCTAAAGACAGAAGAGCTCCATTTCCACAGGAGTACAGCCCTGTCTCCTGGGGCAGTGTTTATGTCATCTTGGAGAAGTTGAAATAAGCACCCAAACCCCATTGTATAAAACCAGCTTACACAGCTGTGTGAGCTACAGCTTTGTTTTACAAAGTGTTGCACTGTGCTGCATTGAAAGTTAAGTAATACAAATTATGGAGGCAAGGTAAGTGTGTGTGATTTCATTCTGACAGCAACTCTAGAAAAGTTTAACATTGCATGCATGAGGGTGATGTGTATCAGAATAGCAAGATACAATAAAAACTTCCACTGTTGACTTGGTAACTCTCTAAAAAGCTGTTCACCGACAGTATATATTTGACAGCTTTCCTACTGTATCAGTTCATAAAAGTTTTATTAGCCATTGTGTTGCTTCTGTGGGAATCCTTGAAGCAGGAAATATTTCCAGATGGCAAATTTTAAATGAAATAATGTGTTCTTTAGCATTAAAAGCCAAGCAGAACCCAGCAGATCAATATGGAATTGGATCAAGATGCCAACAAGAAGCTGAGGTGGATGAGGGAAAGAAAGATGATGTAGAAGACAGCAGAGAGGAGACAGAACATGAAGATCAAGAAAAGGAAGATTCATACAGCTTTCACAGCAGTCCTGACAATTTATATGCCAGCATACCTGGTGATCTCAAAGAGAACAGAAGAGATTTCTTTTTCTGTAAGAGGCCACCCCCTCCTCCTCCTCGAAATCTGCCTGGCATCCTAAGACAGGACAATCTGCACAATTTATCACAAGGTACGATCTTGGGAGGAAAATAACCCTAGATACAAACATGTGCAAGTGCATATTAGGTGCTGCAGTAGAGATTATGTATGATCACTTCTTCTGACAACTGCAGTAGCTAGACAGTATGCCCCTAACTCTGCAAAGCAAGCGTGTTCGTGTGAACTTTACTGCATCAAGATATCCAGGTATGTCAGCTGATACTGTGGTGTGGGATCCTGGCTTCAGGTTTCAGGTTTTTCTCTCTCTGCCCATCTCGGAGAGCTGCGAAATAATACATGATGCCTTGGATTTGCAAGAGAGGCTTGAAACAAAAGATTGACCTTGTATTTTTGTCAAGTTGACTTAAGTATTTAGCATTTAAAAATATTAAATACTATCTTGATTTTGGAATTTCACAGGTAGAATTAATAGAACATGAATGTGGAGAGAGAAGTAACGTAGTATTTTATTACATTTTAACCAATGTTGTGGTTAGAAATAAAAAGCTACATTGTGTTGCAGATTGAAAAGAGAGGGAGAAATTGTGACCTTTAATGAAATGCTTTGCCTTTTTTTTTTTTTTTTTTTAATACTTGCTGCACCAGAGTAAAAATCTAAAATTCAGTGTTGTAATTTGATTCAAGTGATGAGAAGCCCAAAATACTATTCACATCTGTTTCGGAAGGGATGATTATAATTTTTTCTCATTGGGAAAAATAAGTATGCAAAAGAATTCAAGCTTAAATACCAGTCTTAAATAGTCACATAGGGAAAAAAAATTATTTGTTCTGGACACTACTGGTAAGTGTGCACACACATTGTTTCTCAGTTTATCCATTGCTTATTACTGTTAACTCTGTTTTTAAATGTGGTATAACCTATTTGGGTCTTAAATTACCATTACCAAGCGCTTTGAAATTCTCATAAGTAGAGAGAAATAGCTTTCTAGCCTTATAGCTTGCTATAGGTAGATTTTCATCCTGTTTTCTGCTGTGAAAGAAAAAGCTGGCTATATGCAGGAAAGTCATAGGTGGATTCTAAGAGAAAGGGGCAGAATAAAAGTAATGTTAAAGATGCAGTTTGCTTCCCACAAAATACTCAACTGCAGCTATATGTGTGCATAAATGGGGGGTCAGGTTTGGCATGTAGGATTTGTTAGTGTAGGTTTGATATAAATGCCTGTCTTGGAATAGCTCTTATGTGGCTATGCCGTCAAGTAGTAACGTGTCCCTCTCTGCCAAATGCCAGTTGTCTGTATGTGGGTACCAGCAGAGAAAGTTTCTCGGCTATGTAGTGTCCTGTGCTGAATCCTGTGGTGGTAAGGCAGAGTTTGTCTAAAAATGCTCCTGTGTTAATAGTTCATTTGAAACATACTGTGAATGTTCCTGAAGTCTTAGCCTTGGTTTCACCACTGGGGAAACGGGGTGGAGGGTATCAGAATTCCTCTAAATGAGGGTGATGCTTGCTTTCAAAGAGGAGCTCTAATGAGTCATTGCTACATATTTTTAGTCAGCCCCTGGCTTTAGGTGTTGCTGTGGAATACCTAAAAGGCGAGTCCCTGCTTCTTGAAATCTTTGTTTTGGCAGTGGCATGAGAGTGCCTCCTGTGGGAGTTAAAAGAAAGAATATCTGACAGAGAAAGAAAGAACTTTTATAGTGACATGGAAACAAAAGATTTTTGATATTAAATATGGCAGGTATATTAATCCTACTTGTTGCTTTAAAACATATTTCTATCTTAGCCAGGATACATGTTGATAGTACGTATTAATGATACATCCCATTTATAAATGACACATCCCATTTGTAAATGTATCCTACTTACAAAGATGGCTTAGCTCCTCTGAACCCATAAACAGATAAAACAATTCTTTAAATAGCAGCCAATGGATTGAAAACACCAGTAGTGACCACAGCCTGGTTTAGCAGATATGCATGTACAGGCAGTAGATTACAACACGAGGAAACCATGACTCAGTACAAGAATTCCACTCAGGTCCACTGTTTTTGCAGGAAAGAAGGGTAATCAGCACAAGGAAGTTAGAAATATTTATGGGAGCACCAGCCTCGGTAACAGGTTGTAACTCTTAGCAGTTTGTGGGGTTTTTAAAGACAAATCAAAACAAACCCAGGTATCAGGATACTCATTGATTCCTTTCAATGCTGTAGAATGTAAAAGCTAAAGGAAAGCAAATTCTGAGTAGTTGTACTATGAAATATATGAAATATAGGGAGTACAGACAGTCAGGGAAGTTACTGGGGTGGGGGAGTTTGGGTAGTCTCAGCATAGATTATAAGAGGTCATAAATTTCGTCTATGTTGTAAGGGGCTTTTTAATTTATTTTTTTTTACCTTGTCTTACGGTACATCTTAGCAAAGCCCTCAAAATCAAGTGGGACATGGGAGATGTAGGAAAGACAAAACCTAACATTTTCTAAAATAAGTTTCAATCCTTAAGTCATTGTTGCAACAGCTAACAAACAGCCTGACTTTCCAAACTGCCAAGGGCCACAGGTACCACTTACTTGGCTTCACCATTAAAGAGCGTGTTTGTGACTCTTGTGGGAGCAGCTGGGGCACTTGGTATTTCTTTTAGATAAGCCCATTTATTTTGAGGCTAGGAGCTAAGCATCTATTTTTGATAATCTGATATGAAATCATGAGGAGGCCCTGAAGTTGGAATTACTCCTTTGGGACATCCTCTCTACTGACTTAGATGATCAGAAGCCTCTGAAAATCAGAGCGCTTTAGTTTGGAAGTGAAATTAGGTCTCCAAGTTACTTTAGGAAACTCTAAAGCTTAGTTAAGTCCTGATCTCCTTTCTTTACCCTGCATATGGAATACAATTCCTCGCTTTTTCAGAGAGGGATTTTGTGGAGGACAGAAGTGAAAGAGAACATGGTGATGGACTCATACCAGCATGCTGCAGAGAAGACAAAGATACGTGCAAGGGAGACAGCGAGGAGGAACACCCATACACTATTGTGAAAGTGGATGACTCTGTGTACGATTTCGTACTGGCTGAGGAGGAGGAGAAGGAAAGGAGAGAACGCAGGTCTTTCATCGTCAACAGACCGCCAGCCCCTGCCCCTCGTCCCATATGTTCGCCGGTCAGAGAGGAGAACACTCCCTATATAGTGCAAGGTTAGTGCTGCTGCTTTGTGAATATTTGTTAGTAGAATATAGGCATGTCTCTTCTATTTGATGAATAATATTTTTTAAAAGACTAAGGTCTTTGTTCAGTTACTTTCAAACCAACAAATTGGTTGATTCAGTCAACTTATTCTCACCTTTCAAATGAGATGAGAACATCTCTGACTAATGTTAATTTTCAATTTGCATCTCAGCATCGCTTTTTTGGTTTAATTTTACAAAAATTATGACAATATGATGGAAAGTTAAGAATTGCTGGGTTAGCTGTGAGTGTGTCTGTTTTAATGGTGCAATACAGAATGTGCTATTTGAGTCGCCTTTCCTTTCAGTTTCTTCATCAAAATGTTTTTACTTAATTCTGAGAGAGAGATTTTAGCGTGATGAGAACAGTAGGGAAAAATGCCTATGTGAGAATTCCTCTTTCAAATATCCTTTCTCTAATGCAAGATGCTAGAAATGGCCACCTGAGGAAGGATTATGTCCTTTTACCATTTCTGTGAAAACTGGGGGACTCAAAAAACTTTTTGAGCTTATTTGTGGAAATGTAAGGCTGAAAGATATTTCAGATATCTTGTAGTCCAATTCGGATTGAAGCCAAATTTCAAAATAACAAAAGGAATTTCTGTGAACCTACTGCAGAGATCTCTGTGTAAGCCCCAAAACCCATACTGCCTGCATTTCCAGCCTCCTCTACAAAAACCTGCCAATGTAGAAGAATATGCATAAGAATAAATGGTGGAAAACCAGGATGAGGAAGGATACCAGTAGATTGCTTACTCCATCTAGCACATTTTTTGCACTAAAACAGGATTAATACTACCCCAATCATCCTATCAAATACAGAAGAACACCTCCTTCTTCATGCCTGTTTCAGTCAGTGATTTGTTTTATTCTTCCTAGGTAGCTCTCTTCCTCCAGGCTGTGTAACTCCAGGTGAGGGCCAGAATGCATGGGCTAATGCGTTCATCATTTAGTTGCTCTCTCTTCAGCATGTTCGGAAGGTATACGGATGAATCATTACAGTAGTTAAAGTGTAATCCAGGAACAGATGTGTATAGGGGGCCTATTACAACTACAGAAGTCCTGAAATAGCTGCTTTTACTGAGATTACTAGAGCAGCGTCTCAAATCTTGGTCCTCCATCATCACAGACAGGCCAGTGACTTGAAAACCCTTACGTGAAGATGCATTATTTGGGAGATGGCTTCTACTGTCTTCTATTGCACTAGAGTGTTTCTGCTTTGTGTACCCTAACTGTTCACTGAGGAAGAGACTATCAGAGGAACTGCTTTGATGGGACTGTGGTTCTTTTACACCATATACATATATATATACACACCCTCACATGTACACACATCCCTGGGGTTTTTAGCTTTGCTTTTATAAGCAGGTAGTGGTAGACAAAGTAGTTTCCTGTTCTGTGAAATCAGGCTCTGACTCAAGTTCATTTACTTATACAATGCAGGAGAAGAGTGGAAACGCTTCAAGAAAGCTTTGGTTGACCAGTCAGGCCTCTGTTTCGCCTGGGCGTCCTGCTGCTTCCAGATCTGGAGTTTCTCACTCTCCTGTTTTGTGTAGGGATTCCCGAGATAGATAGTGAAGTTTTAGACAGAAGTGATAGATCTTCAGCCGAAAGATTTTTTTTTTTTTGCTACTTGGATTGGCAATTGTTGTCCTTTTCCACAGTAGTTAAAAAATTCTTCATTCAGTCCAGCAATATCCCACGTTTCCAGTTTATTATATTAAAACTGCTTATAATTGGAAAAAAAAAGATTGTTTCGGCTGTAAGAACCAGAAAATTTCATTCCAGTCCATCATTAAAATCTGGATGTATTTGCAGCCATTGCTTTATAATTTAATCGAATCAGTGTAAAATAAAATTACTCTGACTGGTGCATATACATATTTTTCATCCCTTAAATAAATTGATGATAATTTCAGGTTTTGTTTTCATATATCATGCTAAAAAAAAGCATTGTGGGAGTTGCAAAGCCAAATAATCAGAAAGTTAGAATTGAGGTGGTTTTGCTGTTTTACTGCCTTCTCCCTGCCACAAATGTTACAAAAGAGTCCTTAAGTACATAGCCGTGTGCCGCTATTTATCCACAGATATTTTGTTTCATCTAGTGTTGAAAGTTGGGTGAGCATAAGATGCAAAACTCTTCAGTGTTTTTCATTCCTATTTTTGTTTAAAATATAATTTGTGCCTGCCCTAGGCCCAGTGTGTTGTTTCAAGCCCTCCTGTGATAAACCCTTTGATTTCTTCTATATCCGCTGAGTTTCTGGTGGGTGCCCAATATGAAGTAACTAAGATGCCATTCTTGAGATTACCAGCATTATAGAATACTTCACTCATTCAAAGCAGAGATCCCGTTGATTTCAGTGGCCGCAACAAGTGCTCAGAACTTCAAATTGGATCATTAGTGTGTCTAGTCAGCAGCCTAACGTCAGGGATTCACGAGCCCGATTGCTGGCTGAAAGGACTTGTCTGGGGTTACGCTGGGGCTTTGTTGGAGAGAGAAGTCCTGTGCCGCAGAACAACTTTTAGTTACATCACTGAGGCATCGTTCCCTCCTCTGTGTTCTCTCTCCATTCCCTTAAATACCTTTTTAACTTCTAAAACAAATTAAATAATATTCCTGTGAGAAGCGGGTTGTCTTCGCTGCACAGTTCTGGCTGATCTTCAGAACCATTCCCTTCTGGTGTTCAGTAAGACACAGGTCCTATGGGAAAAACGGGATTAGAGAACGGAGCGTGATGCAGAGAGGAGGGCTGTGTGAAGGCTACTTGGTCACCCACAACTGGACCCCCAGGTACTTTGGGACTTCATGGAAAGAACAAGCTTCACTCCCCAAGGCTCGCAGGGGCTGTTTTGATAGCGCCATGCAGAGATGCAAGAGGAGGATTTCTTTTTGCCCTTTATGTATGCGCGGAGGTGATGGAAAATTGTGGGCTCGTTTATTGGCAAAAAAAAGCGTAAGCATTGCATAGCAGAAATGCCTTTTGCCTCTTAGATTGCATACTGGTGCCTCCTTTTTAATTTAGTTTGTACATCTATCAGGACAAATCAAGTGGCTGAATTCTCGTGAGGGCTTCCACCACACACTGGAGTCCCCGAAGTTACAAAAGAGTATCTTCTCCTTTAAGCAAAAATGGTGGTGTTTCCATGAGAATAGCAACAAAGAAAGTGAGCAAATAGCCTTCTTTGTAAAAGGTAGGTTTCGAATGCATGGAAACTCAAGTTTGCACTAGGCAGAAGTCCTTCTCCCTGTAGGTTACCCCTTGGTGCTCTGCAGAATAGGAGAGTGGAACTGGTGATCTAGAGAAAACAAACACAGGAACTCACAAGCCCCATTTAGAGTCTCTTTCAGAGCAGGATCTACACTCCGAAACATAGGCAGTAGACACTCACTGATGCAAGTTGTCATAACCAAACTACCACAATTCACAGTTTGAGCATCTGACCTGAATTTGCTGACAAATTCTGGGAACCATGAGTGAGTTGAAGGATTTAAAACATAAGTGTTCCGATCATTTTTACCGTTTCATTTATTCCATTTTCAAATTTTAATGAACATGCAAACTACTGTATTGAACACTGCTAAACATACTGCCTCTTTAACAAACAGAGTGTACATTTCTTCTTTAATTTAGACCACTGCAAGAATTCTGCTTTCTGTGTGAAAGGCTCATCAACCAATGGAGCTGCAAATTGGTGCCAAATAGCTTGTTGTCCAGATGGTGTGCACTCTTAGTGTGCTCCCTTTCCGTTCCTCAAGTGCTTAGTATTCCTTTGGAGGTCATTTCAGTGTTTTTACAATTGTGTGCTGCCAAAACAACTGTTAAATAAATGTACGAAGGTGATGTGTTTTCAGTTTACAGTGCAGTTCTCATGTTCCATACTGATACCAGATTTGATTGAGCTGGAAACCACAGTCCCCAGTGTATTCTTAGGACAGGTGCACAAGTTTCTGTAATGCCTCCCTGCCGTTTCGAAGGTCTGACCTACTAGGCATGCCTCAGGGCTTAAGGATTAAGCTCTTACGAGAAACGAGGAACGGCTGAGAGAGCTGGGGTTGTTTAGCCTGGAGAAGAGGAGGCTCAGACCTTATCACTCTCTACAACGAAACGAGGTTGTAGCGAGGTGGGGGTTGGCCTCTTCTCCCAGACAACTATTGACAGGACAAGAGGGATAGTCTGAAACTGCCCCAGGGGAGGTTCAGGCTAGAAATGAGGAGGCATTTCTTCACAGCAAGGGTGGTTAGGCATTGGAATGGGCTGCCCAGGGAGGTGGTGGAGTCCCCATCCCTGGAGGTGTTTAAGAAAAGCCTGGACATGGCACTTATTGCCATGGTCTAGTTGACATGGGGGTGTTGGGACAAAGGTTGGACTTGATGATCCCAGCGGTCTCTTCCAACCAAATGGATTCTGTGATTACATTACTGTCCTGCTTTGATCATTTACCTCTTACCAGAGACCACCAGTATGAGAGGGGTTCTCTGCAGCAGGGACACCTACCCCTGTACCTACAACAGCATAAATAAAACTTCATATGCCGTGGCCTTTGGTCCTTTGCAACCTCTCACAAATCCCTGAAGGAATACTTTTCCCCTCTGTGCACTGGAAAGATTTTACTATTAAAAGATAGCTGTCTGTGGGACTTCACACTAGGGTTAAAAGTCAGAAGTGGAAAAAATAGGTTTCCCAGTTCCTATCCCAGAAGAGAACAGCATTCTCATTGCTCATCAAAATCACAGGGTATGCAGAAAAAGTAGCAGCCAGTGGATATTTTTAGGGAGGCAGAATATCTTGTGTACAGAATAGACAACATAAACCCAAATGAAATGAAAAAACAAAATCCAGAACAGAGCTGTTAGTGTCTTGGAAACTTATCAGGCTGATTACTGGGAACTATAGTGATCGCACCCCGAGTAAGTAATTCTCATTATGCAGATTGTTTAAATGCTCTAAAGCAGGGGTTTCCAAAGCAAA